CAGACTCCTGTGAGGATCCCTTGCATGCTCATGTAGCTGCCCTTCCCTCTATAGTCACTGTCTCGATTGATCAATGGAGAATGTAGACATACATGTAGTGGGCAATATTCTCACCAAAGGACACTGGTTCACACTCTGAATCTCTCCTGACTGTCATGAGAATGAGATCAATATTTTTCGGTCTGACTCTGTTGAATTTACGCTTTAAGATAAAACACCTGGCCTTTTTATTGTGATTAGAAGCACAACAGTCGACACTAATTGCTGCACAAACTCAATTTTTAGTTAGTTTATGGTCCAAGCACGAGTTGCTTAGGGACCTTCAGTGCATAGCATAGTCATTGGCTCATTGCCAGTACTGTTTTAAACTCTAGTGCATAATAATAATAATAATGTTAATAATAATAATAACAATAGACATCTGAACTCTTCATGACTACTTACAGTTATTGGCCTCGCCCAGCTTTGCGTAGGCGAGGACTAGGTACTCGTCTTAATGTATGAATTGATACTTTGTATTATTACTGACTTCACATTTTGTGTTGTTGTGCATTTTGAGAAACAATAATAATAATAATAAGTGAAATGGAGCCATTAAACAAAATACACCAGATTAAAATGCACTTGGTAAATTATTATTTAAAAATTACATAACATGAAAATTAAAATAATTATGTTATAATACTTGAAAATTAAATTAATCCAATCAATGTCCAAGTTGATATCTGCATTCCCTAATTTTCTTCAACCTACAGCAATAATGAATGTAAAAGAAAAATGAGTTTCTATAATACCAATTGGAGCATTAATTGATAGTACCTTGCTTCCTCTGCCTCTTGTATTTCTGATCTCTCTTTATCTGTTAACTCTTTCATTGTCTCTCTATTGTCTCTAAATAATTATAAACAGTAAGAGGTATATGTAAGTGTGTGTGTATACATAATGTGTGTGTTCATTAGTACTTGTAATATATGACACGTCCATCATTATATAGTCCTAATGAGTATCTGTCTGAAGTGATGGAATACCATTTCAACTTATTCTCAATATCAAGATATGACATCTCAACTGGAAATGATGTACTCTAAGAGTTAAAGAGGAAGTATCTTTATTATGTTTTGTATCAATGATTAACCTTTGCACAATAGATATACTCAGTAGATATTCCACTTAACTCTGACAGCTGTAAAAAAAAACAATAATAATGATGATTATACATACCCACACTGTATTTATTCATAGTGTTGATTACCGTATAAATTAATGTTAATATAACCTATAGATTTGTATTGGCGGCAATTGGCAGTTGTACCATTATCAATTCTACCATTTGATATGTGGCATAAAATCCAAAATTTTCCAGCTACTACTTATCACAAACAATACAGTAAACACAGTTTTAATCTTATAGCATCATAACTACTAGTTTGAACAAGTACTGTCCCATGCAGTGCAACGATAAAATTATGATTACCTTTTCAATAACATGCTTAGGATCCTCATAATCCAGTATAATTTCTTCTATTGGATCAACTGAACATTGTGATGGACGCCATCTTATAACATACACCTGTATCTGTGTATGATGCATTATCTTCTCTGGTCCTAATCAAGTGAAGTACAGTATACTGATAATATCATATAGCAGCATTTATTGGTGAGAGACTAAATTTGGTGATTTTGCAAATTTCAGGAAAGCACCAAATCAAAATTGCTGCCATGTGGTAAGAGATAATGAAGTTACCAAAATTTAATTTACAAGTCACCAATTTCATCAATTTCACTAAAAATAAATCCTGCTATACAGTTTACAATGAAAATATTGAGATTATGACCTTTCAATGGTTCCACATAAAATGGTTCTGTTTCTTTTCTAGGATGAGTCATCAAATGATCACTTTGATCAGGATATACTCTACCAGGCCTCACTCCATTTTTGTGACGTAATCTCATTCTACATACATTGAAACAAGTAAGTACATCACATGATGTATTTACTTGTCTAATTCAAGGACACAGTCAATTCCTTGTACTTTTGCTTCTTCAATAATTTGTTTCTTAAATTCTCTCACTGGTGTATCCTTAGCAACAACAGACTCCATCATGTATTTACAAAACTAAAACATGAAATAGAATTAAAATTATAGTAACTAATAGTCTTACATTTGTATTGTTAACTTGTAATAAATATAATTTAATTCTGACTCTACCCAGTCTTACTATCAACTAGAAGATAAACAAAGTATTTTTAGTTCATACAATGTATAATAGAAAGGAGAAGTGAATCAATACTTTTGATCCAGATATGATATTCATTAATGTCTCATCCAGTCCCTCCATTTCATATTCTTCATTATTATATCTGATTCCATACACTCTAAAACCAGCAGGTGGTACACCAATCAGTGGAACTAGCTCCTCCTTCAATTCAGCTAATGTTATTCTCTTATCAACTTGTACTTGTATCTCTGTATTGAATAATATAATACTTAATGTTCTTTATAATAATTAAGGCCTTTCTACACTAGCACTTCTAGTACGCATTGAATCATAAAACTGGTTCTAATCATTCTACATCTGATGCAAATCGGCTTCAATGCACAAAATATCAAACCACCTCTATATGTGATTTGAATGTGCATTCAATAGATAAACAATAGCAGCTGGATCAGAAATACTATCACTTGATGCAAATTGAAGCTAAACCAGTTTAAACAGCATTACAAGTGTAAAAAGGCCTTTATACTCAATATTACTTCTTTTATCTTCTTCATTTATTGATACAGTTTTCATTATTAATCTTCCATCAGGTAGGTTGGTTGTAGTGTGAGTAGCTTCAGGTTGAGGAGGAGGTAGTGTAATGTCCAATAGTATTGAGTTGAAGTGAAAATCAACATATCTGTGCATCAAACTATCTTTGTAATCCTCTAAAAAATCTATAGGATCCGATGATACATATATCTAAGAAGAAAGGAAAGAGCATGTGTGTCACATGTGAACAAAAAATAGTAAGAATAAGGAAATATTAAAATAATGTATAGCATGTTCCTTTTGTTTGGCCAACAAACTAATTAACCTGACAAAAGGTACCCATAAGGAGAATGTAGAGCATAAAAGCATATACATGTACATCATTATGGTTGCACTGGATCCATCAAATCAGGCATGCATGATTGATAGTTATACTGTTGCAGTTCCCAATAGACATACAGACAGAGTGTGTGAGTAATCGTACACAAATAATATCTAGCACTTGAAGAATGTGAAACATTATGAGGCTTTGCCTGTGACCACGCTCCAAGATACATACATACACAGACAAACAGTACTTAAGGAATAAGGACTTTGCCCAATTAGCACTTACTGTTGGTACTACAAGTTGCTCTCCGTGTAGTTTGTGTGAACTGAATAAATCTCCTTTAAAAAGCACATTTTTTAAAGACCTTTCAACATCTTTTAAATGTATGACTGAGTGAGCTTCATTATACAACAGTACCCTCATACATGATGAATTGAGATTAAATAACTAAAGATCAGATTGAGAGAGGGTAGGAGAGGAATGATCAATATATAATGGTATATCTTTCCTCTTACTTCTCCTATATATTGTTTCAATTCTCCAACAGTCCAACCTTCTTCACTTTTTATTGGTTTAGCTGGTCCTACTTTACCAGTGAACAGATCAACCACTGATATCTTTAGATAAATATCTACACCATCAAACACATGTACATGTACATGTAATAAAAGGAATTGTCTTTAGAGGTGAGCGATACAATGCCAAAGTACTCAATACCAGGCCTCTGATACCAAGTATTTGATACCTATTCTGGTATATACATGTACGTATTGAGCTAGTGACCACGCTCAATGGCCACACCTTTTTATAATTACAAAAATGACGACTCATTTGCTTGATTTTTGTTAATGACTAATTATAACATATTTTGTATGTGCAGTAGCGACTATTCAGTACTCGATACCATCAATATACTGATACTCAGACTACTTGGTATTGGTAACAATCAAAAAATTCTGGTATCGCCCACTCTAATTGTTATGGTAATGATATAAGCATACTCACCTCCAGTACTGTATTTCTTAAAAGTCTCAATATCTCTACAAGTTTCTAAGAATAATCCACAATATCCAGCCACACCCATAAGCTGTCCAATAGTTTGATCCTGAAACTGAATATAAAAATAAAATAATTATAACAATTATAGGATAGATACATGGATGTACAGGTACCTTATCAAGATCAAAGGACTGTTCCATTATATCATTAATAATATCATATTTAACTAAACGGCATCTCTCAATTGGAATATGAGGAGCTAATTCCATTAACTGATAAAGAAATGAGGAGAAAAGAAATGAAAGAATAAAACAAAGCAACTAAAAACAACAAACCTCATAAGCTGTATCCAGTACTGTGGGTAGTAATTCATCTTTATGTACTTGAAATAATTTACTAGTTAATTCACCAGTAACAGGATGATTACAATATAATAAGAACTATAAATAAAAGGAAATCAGTGAGTACTCGCTGTCTTAGTCTCACTCACTGAAGACAGTTGATCCTCTTCATCACTTAGACTATCATACTCAATCTCTTCAACTTCAGAATCGTCATCTTCAACTTCAGAATCATCACCTTCAACTTCAGGCTCATCATCTTCAAAATCTAAACGACAATCAAATGATGACACAACATCATTAATACATGTATATAAACCTTCAATATCTTTTATAATCTTCTTATTGAGCTTCCTTGCAGCAATTAGTTCCATATTTGCTACTGTTATTTCTTCTTGTAATTTCTCTATTATTCTTTTATTATCTACTAATGGCTGATAGTCTGGTCTTGTCATTGCTTCGAGACAGCATTTGCAGTCATCAATTTCAAGAGCCATTCCTCTTCTCACTTTGCTAGCAGCTTTAATTAATTATATAATTATTAGTATAATTAATAAAACTACTCTAACCTGAATCAGTATTACTAGAAAGTGATCTCAAATAATCAACTTTCATTCCTGATAGTTTGTCTGACAATTCTTTGTTCTCTTCTTTAATCTCATTAAACTGAGAGCTCAATACAGTCAACTCTTTATCAAGTGGCTCTTTCTATTAATAATTATTATAATTAAGTTAATAGAAAATTTAGTGAGATATATCTATACTTTAACTTCTTTAATTGATTCAGTATCACTTTGAACAGACAATGATTCTTCCTAAATTAAAGCAAAAACAGGGTTATTTAGATCACACAATGACAGTGCATGTCAATCATTGACAATAGCTAACCTCAGATAATACCCCTGATAGCTCTTGTTTTAAATCATTTGTTTCCTAATATACACATAAGTACATACAAGTAAAAATCTACTCTTGGTAAAACAATATCAAAAATGCATATGCAAACTTCTTAAAGTTTTACACTAATTAATGTACCTTAGAGTGACTTTTAATTGCGGGTACTAAATTTTGCGATTTTAGCACAAGGTAGATTTTGCTGGTATTAAAAATTGCAATTAAGTAATTATTACTAATAGTTATATGGCATCATGATGTCATTATTAATAATTGCGAGTATTAATAATTGCGATTTTTAACCCAAACGCAAAATTCGCAATTAATAGTACCCGCATTTAAAAGTAACCTTAAGGTACTTCAGCTATATGTACCTTCTCTTTGCTACTGATAGCATCTCTCAGTATATATTCAGTTTCTTCAAGTATAATATAAGAAATAACCTGTACACACATGTACAATTAACACATTACATCATTTACATTATATAATTGATTGCTAATAATAATTAATAAAACTTGAGAAATAATTATATTAACTGACCTCAGTATGTCGTAGTAAGTCTTGATCCTTTTCTTTTAGTTCCTATATAATAGAATATTCATAAAACAATATTCAATTATTTATATTATGTACCTTTAGTCTAACATCTTGTCTCCTCCATAATGTCAAGTTACCAATAGTCAGTTTCTTTAATCCTTGTCCCATTAGTATATGAATATTCTCTATCATCCTCAATACAGTAAACCCAACATCAGAAAAAGGAAAGGAGCAAGTGACACATATTGAATTGCTAGGCTCTATAAACTGAATCTTCAGTAGTTTACTGGACACTTTGGCAAGAATTTCCTTGATGTCTTCCAACATATGCTCCTTAGGTTTCCAGTCAAAGATAAAGGTAACTGTCTGACATTGAAGATGAGGAATAGAATCAAATCGTTCATTCAAGCAAAGACTGATGGAAAGAGACTTGCAAGCTTCACTCAACTTTTTTCTATATGTCTCAATGTATTCCTCTGCTTCAGTGATATCCATTTCTTCTACTATGCTATGAAGTAGTTCAATATCAGTCAATGAACACTCCTTTTTAACATGACGAAGAATACTAGAAATATCTGAACATTTGTTGACTTTCTTGCTGAGGGAGCTACTGTAATAAAACAGGAACTTCTTGATGTCTGCAACTTCCAATTTCTGTTCCAAAATCTTGCAAACATTGTAAAACATTCTCACGTAAGACATCCTTATGGAACTAAAGTTAGCAAGCAGATCTTTTGGAACAGGTATATGTACTTCAGCTAAAAATACATTCATCATCATTATTATCAATTATTAGTTTATACCTTGAGGTGATAAAGGTTGAGAAGAAGAATTACTAGAAACTTCTGAATTAGGAGACATATCTAAAAATGCATAATAAACATAATTTTAAAAATATGATATTCATCTAAACAATAAGTTCACCATATGCAGATTGTGTATTAGTTGGTATCTTGGTTTCATCAGTACTTGCATTATCTATAATGAATGCATTATCCCATATTAAAAATTATTGAATACCTTGCGTAACTACATCATAATCCTTAATAGTCTCAGGAACCACATCAAATTCAGGAGTAGGAAAATACTTACCTAATAAACAAACAGTTGTCAGTATCAATAACAACACAAGATTTTAAGGATACACGGTGGTTGTATTATCATACTCACTAATATCATCCAGTATAGTTTGTCCTAATTGTACATTAGTACTTATTGTACACAATACATTAGCAAATGTATATAAACTGTTGGGATCAGTTTGAACAGCTTCTTTGATAGCAGTTAATAGAGCCTCACGTTGATTAGGAATAGAGGGACTAGCTGACACCACTCTACTAACTGCTTCTTGTGTTAACATACGTTCAGCATAAAGTAACCAAGCAATACTAACAGAATCACAAAGAGACTGAGACAGGACAGTATGATGATTATTAAAAATATTAATAAGAACATGATGTTCTACAATAAAAATATACAATGATTATAGTAACATACAGCTATGGTTGACTCACTTAATTTCTCAGCTACAGCACTTTCATTCATAAATCGTAGAACATCTGACAGTGAGTCCAAGTTGGCTCCTCCTCTACTGTCAACATTATCAGCTCTACCTAACCATTGGGAGAGACACTCTGTCATACAACGATACAGATCACCATGATACTTCATTTCAATAGCATCCAGTGTATTCTTCCTTAGTCCTAGTCTCAGTCCAAGCTCGTGCCATTTTGTTTCTGGGAAGCCACATCTCTTTAACAAGTCAAGAACATCGACAAGATTATCAATACCTAGATACATGAAACAAATCAGAGTCATGAAAGTTTAGACTCATTTATCACGATGATCATCACTAAGGCTTAGCCTAACTATGAGCTTACCTAAACAATTTTGACTAGATCTAGTGGCCATAGTTTTATAAGTGTACCGTGCCACGAGTATCTAGTCTAGTCTGGGGTTACCCACACCAGGGTCAGTCAGAAAACAACTTCTGTTTAGTGTTTACTCGACTGTTTATCTAGCTAGTGGAGGGGAGAGAACAAGGGCGGGGTTCTGTTAAAATGCATATGCTGAGTGAATGCTGTTATTATTCATGTTATTGTTGTTTACTTATAATCTACTATAAAAAAATTTAAATGTGGCTAAGAGGAAACTTTACTAGATCTACATATAAAAATAGCTTACCAGCCTATATATCTTACTCAAGTCTTCAGCCCATATATCTTACTCAAGCCTTAGCTAAAATCCTACAAAGTACAGTCTCTGTTCTTTCTAAATACTTCAAAACAACTAGCCCTCTTGACACAGACAAGTAGTGTATGCAACCATCAAGGAATAAAGTAGAAAAACCATGGTAATTTTCATGGGGTGATTTTGAAGTCAAAAAATAGCTCCGATTTTAAGAAAATGCCCAAATTCTGTAAAATACCCTAGGCTATAGCCCATAGTTTTCCAAACAATGGCTCCAAAATTATCCTAAATTTTTATTACATTTTCTGAAACATGTGCAAAATTTGAGCTGATCAGATAATCGACCTTATAGCTTATTCAATGAAATTTTTCAAATTAACGCGCACCTGAGTTGGTGCCAACTTGGTGGTAAAATGGCGGATTTTTGTAGAAAAGACAGGCTGAACAATCTTCTCTTTTACCCAGCCACTCTATCTTTGAGAACCACTTTGAGCTGTCCTTTTGTTTCAGTATACTCTATTTATCTCTTCTGTAAGCTCTTTGGTTGCTGTTTTGGCTTTTATAGCATTTTATCATAGGAATATTCTCACCCATGGGCAATTGCCGTTTTTCTAAATTTTGCTTTCAGGAGCCAAGGCGCTTGCCCCTCCTTGCTATGAAGACAGAAGTGTATTCAGCTGAGTCCTATGACTAGTGTCTATCATCAGAGTTAGTCTCAGTCCATCAGGACAA